TCTTCTTCCTCTTCTTAAAGGATACCTTTCAGCATTTCATATAATACTGGTTTGGTGGTGATGAACTCCTTTAGCTTTTCCTTATCTGTGAAGCTCTTTATCTGACCTTCAATTCTGAATGATAGCTTTGCTGGATAAAGTAATCTTGGTTGTAGGTTCTTGGTATTCATCACTTCGAATATTTCTTGCCATTCCCTTCTGGCCTGCAAAGTTTCTGTTGAGAAATCAGCTGACAGTCGTATGGGTACTCCCTTGTAGGTAACTGAGTTTCTTTCTCTTGCTGCTTTTAAGGTTCTCTCTTTGTCTTTTGCTCTTGGCATTTTAATGATGATGTGTCTTGGTGTGCTCCTCTTTGGATTCCTTTTGTTTGGGGTTCTCTGTGCTTCCTGGACCTGTAAGTCTATTTCTTTCACCAGGTGGGGGAAGTTTTCTGTCATTATTTCTTCAAATAGGTTTTCAATATCTTGCTGTCTCTCATCTTCTGGCACCCCTATAATTCTGATGTTGGTACGCTTGAAGTTGTCCCAGAGGCTCCTTACACCATCTTCGTATTTTCGGATTCTTTTTTCATTTTGCTTTTCTGGTTGGGTGTTTTTTGCTTCTTCACATTTCAAATCTTTGCCTTGATTCTTGCGCTCCTCTGGTCTGCTGTTGGGAGTCTGTATACTATTTGTTATTTCAGTCCGTGTATGCTTAATTTCTAGTTGGTTCTTTATCATAACATCGAGGGTCTCATTAGATTTCTTGAGGATCTCACTACATTTATCGGCGGCTTCTAGACAGTTCTTAAGAGATCTTAAAAGTGTGGTTCTGAACTCAATATCCTCCATTGACAGTTTTGTCCTGTTTCGTTGTCTCCGCATTTTTTATGCTTTCTTGGTGCACCCCCTTGTGGTCTTTGTGCGCAGTCTTGTTGTAGGTAAGCCTTGATTGTTGTCAGCAATACCGGGGGTGATTTGACCTCCAGGTTAACTGCCATTCCCTTTCTATGTCCCTGATTCTATTATAATCACCAGTTCATTTTGTTCATCAGATTATTTATTCACTTGATTCTTAGATTCACTTGTTGATGCGTATTTGTTGTTCATAATTTGTATGTTTACCTTTTTCTTCTTCTTCCTCTTCTTAAAGGATACCTTTCAGCATTTCATATAATACTGGTTTGGTGGTGATGAACTCCTTTAGCTTTTTCTTGTCTGTGAAGCTCTTTATCTCTCCTTTAATTCTACATGATAGCTTTGCTGGGTAGAGTAATCTTGGTTGTAAGTTCTTGCTATTCATCACTTTGAATATTTCTTGCCACTCCCTTCTGGTCTGCATAGTTTCTGTTGAGAAATCAGCTGACAGTCGTATGGGTACTCCCTTGTAGGTAACTAACTCTTTTTCTCTTGCTGATTTTAAGATTCTCTCTTTGTCTTTTGTGCTTGGCATTTTAATTATGATGAGTCTTGGTGTGGTCCTCTTTGGATTCCTCTTGTTTGGGGTTCTCTGTGTTTCCTGGACTTGTAAGTCTGTTGCTTTCATCAGGTAGGGGAACTTTTCTGTCATTATTTCTTCAAATATGTTTTCAATATCTTGCTCTCTCTCTTCTTCTGGCACCCCCATAATTCAGATGTTGGTACATTTGAAGTTGTCCCAGAGGCTCCTTACACTATCTTCATATTTTTGGATTCTTTTTTCTTTTTGCTCTTCCGGTTGGGTGTTGTTTGCTTCCTCGTATTTCAAATCTTTGACTTGATTCTTGGGATCCTCTAGTCTGCTGTTGGATCTCTGTATATTATCCTTTATTTCAGTCAGTGTATGCTTAATTTCTGACTGGTCCTTTTCCATTTTTTTTGCATTCTCATGAAGATCCTTGAAGGTCTCACTAAGTTCCTTGGAGGTTTCTAGAAGATTCTTGGGTAACCTTATTACTGTGGTTTTGAGCTCTATATCCATTAGTTTGCTTTCCTCCACTTCTTTCATTCGTGACATATTTCTTTGCCTCCACATTTTGGCTGCTTCCCTGTGTTGATAGAGTGGCCTTGTGTGGTAAGTGTCCTATAGGGCCCAGTGGCTCAGCCTCGCCAATCACCTGAGGTGGACACTCTTGGTGTACCTCTTTGTGGGCTGTGTGCACAGTCTTGTTTTAGGTAAGCCTTGATTGCTGTTGGTATCACTGGGAGGAATTGACCTCCAGGCCAATTGGCTGTGAGGACCCGCTTTGTCTATAATGGAAGAACTACTGTGCTGGAGACACTCTTACGGGGCAGGACTTGCTTCAGTGGGGCTTTGGTGCTCACTGAGTCTGCCCCTTGAGTGTGTTGCTATGGATGTGTAGAGTTGTAATCTGCTATGGTCTCATACTGACCACTGGGTACACTGGCTCTTGGGTTTCCAGGGAGGTGCAAAGTCAGCCACTACCTGGGACTATCCAGCAAAAGCTACAGAGAGATCTGCAGATTCCTCTTCTTTGTATGGGGTTTGGAAGTGCCCAGATGAGGCCCAGCAGTGAAGCAAGGCAGGCTGGTGCTGGTGCTGGGTCTTGGGCTTTTTATTGATAGGTTTGGGGCTCCCTGACCCAACTGCAGCTTGTTGGACAGATTTGTAGCCTGAGAAAGGACAGACCATTCATATGCTTAAAAGCCGCTGTGCACAGCTTGGGTGGGGTTGTAAATTGGGTGGGGTGGGGTCTCAGGGAATTACCAGGGCAGAATAAACAGAAATGGCTGCCAGTCAGCCCTGCACCAGGGAGGTTTCAGCATGGGAACAATGACCACTGCGAGCACCTCCGTCTGGAAGAAAGCCACTCCCGAGTTCCTGCCCTGATTCCAGACAGTCCATTTTCTCCCCATATGTGTCTGGGTCCCCCAGAGCCTCGCTTGGCACTGGAGTTCAGAGGAAGTGGGAACTTGTAAATTCAGTTTGTGGTGCTGGCCTTTTAAGAGGAGCAGCTAGGTATCCAGCAGCCTGTGTGTCACTCAGCCCCAATCCACACTGGTTTTCATAGTCCGTAGTTCTTACTGCCCATAGGGACTTCTTTCCCCAGCTCTGGAACCCTGGACTGGGGGTCTGGTGTGGGGATGGGACCCCTCGCTCATCCTGGCAGCCTCTGCAGAGGTGATCTCCCTCCCAATTAAAAAAGCAGCACACCTGGGTGCCAGACCAGACCACCGTTCTGTGACTCCACACCTCCTACCAGTGTCAGTGTGGTTTCTTCTTTACTTCTCTAGTTGTAGTACTTCCATTCAGCCAGCTTTCCAGTGGTTCTGGATGATAGTTGTTCTATATTTTAGTTGTAATTTTGATATGGTTGTGGGAGGCAGTGAGTACAGGTGTTTACCTATGTCATCTTGGTTCTCCCTCTATTTGCTGTTCTAATTGGGGTTTTTTTTTGCTTCTTCATATTCCAAATCATTGATTTGATTCTCGGAATCCTCTACTCTACTGCTGAATACCTGTAAATTGTTCTTTATTTCAGTTAGTGTATGCTTAACTTCTAACTGGTCTTTTTTCATGTCATTGACATTCTCATCAAGATCCTTGAGTAACCTTATAACCATGGTTGTCAACTCTGTACCCAATAGTTTACTTACTTCCCTTTCTTTCATTTGTGACCTGTTTGTCTCTGCAATTTGGCTGCTTCCCTGTGTTTGTTTCTATGTATTAGGTAGAGCTATGATGTCTCCTGGAATTGGTAGAGTGGCCTTGTGTAGTAGGTATCCTGTAGGGCCCAGTGGTTCAGCCTCCCCAGTCACCTGAGCTGGGCACTCTAGGTGCACCCCTGTGTGGGCTGTGTGCAGTCTTGTAGTTGAGCCTTGATTGCTATTGAAATCTCTGGGAGGACTTGACCTCCAGGCCAATTGGCTGTGAGGATCAGCTGTGACTATAGTGGGAGAGCTGCTGTACAGGAAGTGAGGCCCAGCTGTGAAGCAACTTGAACTGCTGCTAGTGCTGGGTCTTAGGCCTATTATTGATAGGTTTGGGACACACTGTTACCAGCTACAGCTTGTTTGAGAGATTTCAGCAAATTCCAAAGCCTGAGCCATTCATATGGAAAAGCTGCTTGGATGGGGCAAACAGCTTGGATGGGGCTGCAAATTGGATGGGGCAGGGTATCAGGGAATCACCAGGGTGGAGCAAACAGTGTGCTTCAGGTTGACAGAAACTCAGATATGGCTGTCAGTCAGCCCTGAAACAGGGGAGGTCCCAGTGCAGGAACAATGACCCCTGTGAGCACCCCTATCTGGGAGAAAGCCACCCCTGAGTCCCTGCCCTGATGCCAGATAGTCCAGTTCTTCCCTGTATGTGTCTGGGTCCCCCAGAGATGCCTGGTACTGGAGCTCAGAGATATCGAGTCTGAGTACATTCATGCCCAGCCTTTTAAGAGGAACACCTGGGTCTTCGGCAGCCTCTGTGTCACTCCGCCACAGTTCCCGCTGGTTTTTACAGCTTGTAGTTATAGGGACTTCTCTTCCCAGCTCTGGAACCCTGGGCTGGGGGTCTGGTGTGGGGTTGGGACCCCTTGTTTCTCATGGGTGGCTTCTGCAGAGATGATCTCCCTCCAGATTAAAAAAACAGCACATGTGGGTGTCGGACCAGCCTGTTCAGTGCCTTTACTCCTCCTACCAGTCTCAGTGTGTTTTCTTCTTTACTTCTCTAGTTATAGGACTTCCATTCAGCCAGTTTTCAGGTGGTTCTGAATGATTGTTTTGCTATATTTTAGTTGTAATTTTGATGTGGTTGTGGAAGGCAGTGAATACCTGCATTTATTGGTTCTTTGTAACATTTTTAATGGAAATTTTAAAGACAATTTACCTCTCTAAAAGAGCAGTTTTGCATATTTTTTCTTTTCTACCTTTCAAACCCCTCCTTCAATCTTCAATCATAGTAGTAATTCTTTCATGTACTTTGATCACCTGTGAAGAGGTAGCTTATTGTCTTTCTTCTCCCCAAAGAATGGCCCTTTGTCTCTCTCTGCTTCATAGATGCTTTAACCTGGGCTCGCCCTAGAGCTGAAGCTGAAAACCATTATTGATTTGAGAGCTTGCTGCTTCAATGACTGTAAGTTGTGACACATTATCTCCTTCTTGGTCTCCACACCTGACCATGATAATTTAGAGCAAAAAAGGTCTTGAACTAATAGTACTGCATTTAATCAAATCTAAGATGCCATTGATTATAGGAAGGACCATTATTTTATACAGAGGAATACTTTGTTTTCTTGTACTTGGTGTGCTTCACAGATGTTGCTTTGTTTGCAAATTAAAGGCAAGACCTTCCACTAGCAAAAGATTATGAATCACTTCATTGTGGTGGTCTGAAACCAAACCTGCAATGTCTCTGAGGCATGCCTGTATCACTAAGAACAAAAAAGAATGCTGCCAATTACTCTATGCCACAGTGCCTCAGCAAAGTCCTAATACAGTAATCTCTCATTACTTTGACAATTCTTTCATCTGTTCTGAGGGATTTGGCAAAATTGCCAAGTTTATTCAGGTCATTTCTTGGCGTGTGATATACTAGTGCTTCTCAAACTCATGAATCACTTTGGAGTGCAGATTCTGACTCAGTAGGTCTAGGGTGGGGCTAAAATTCTGCATTTCTAATAAACTCCCAGATAATGCTGATACTCCTGGTCACACACCATTTGTTGAGTAACAGGCAGTCTTTTACATATATCTTTTTAACTAAATGGAACTCCTCTTCATGTGCTTATGTGTATCTTCCTTTTTTTTAGGTATTCTAAAGCACTTGATTAATGCTTTGCAAAAAAACATAGAGTTATAGTAATTTCTCCAACAACAAATATTTACTTTGCAAATATCAAATTTAAGTCTCACATCTTCACTACTAGGCCTCTCTTTGCATACAATGACTTTTTGCTTCGATGGGTGTATCACAGTATAAAAATTTTGAAGACATTTTAATTTATTATTTTATTATTATTATTTTTAGGGCCTTCCTGTAAAAGCCAGAAGACCTATCTGCTGGACAAATTCAAAAAGAGCTGTAAGCACTTGAAGACATTTTAAAGGGCAGTAAAGCTTAACACATCCAATAGGACAATGAAACAGTTCAGCAGAAGAGAATATGGACAGTCATATTAATGGCACAGCGATGCCACAGCTGCTGCCTGAAGACAGAAAACAGGACACAGTCAAGTTATATGACTCATCCTGATTTCTCTGTAACATTAAATATGAAAAATATATGTAAAATATAATTATGGTATATTAAAAGAACTATAACAATAGGAAAGACATTAGAAGTGGAACTGTGTAAAGTGCCTTGTGCTGATTTGTTTGTTTACAGTACACTTGTAGACTACAGGCAAGGCCCTGTACCCTGAGGAACAGGCAGATCCACAGGTCCTGCCCTTGTGTGGCTCACAGTCCAGCAGGGACACTGACATTAAAGAAACACAGTGTGCCCTCATTATTTGTGGATTCTGTGTCTGCAGAGGAACTGAAATGAGTCTTTTTTCCAGTTCCATTAAGGGCTTGTGTTCTGATTTCCAGCCACCAGGTGGAGATGACACAAAACTAATTAATGTATTCCCTGTATGTCTTTTGCCATTTTTTTTTTTTAAGTAGTACATCTTTATTCATTTCATAGAGAAAGGGAGAGGGAAAGAGAGATAGAAATATAAATGATGAGAGAGAAATATTGATTGGCTGCCTTCTGAACACGCATCCCCTCCCTCCCTCCCCGGGGATTGAGCCAGCAATAGGCATATGCCCTTGACTGGAACCAAACCCGGACCCTGCAGTGCACAGGCCAACACTCTATCCACTGAGCCAAACTAGCTAGGGCTCTTCTTCTTTAACTGAACAATTCCTTAAGCTAAGTCAGGAGCACGGAGAATTACTTTTTTGTCCGTGAGTGAGCCACTGACCTCTCAGGGAATAAAACCACCTAAATCAAAGCCACATGCCAATTCAAAACAAACACAATTTTCAAAGGGAACCATAATGTGTTCAAATCAATGAATGATTTGAAATTGGGAAACCTCTGTATTTTTAATAAGTTTAACAAAAGCAAACATATTTCCATGTTACATTTTTGCCAGTTAGAAGATGGGTGAGATGAAGTAGAGAAAAACAGTCGGAAAAAAAGAGGAAGGAAGAACAGCAGACACAGACAGGCCTACACAGAGTGAAACACAGGGCGTGGGGAAGGCTGAGCTGGGGGTGCTGGGGAGACTGTCTGTCCTGGGGTCAGCACCATTTGAACCTTCTTGTCCCTGTGCATCGAGGGGATACGGGTCAGCAGCCCCACAGAGCTCTTTCAAAGGCTGACTAACCTCCAAGCATCCCCTTTCTGGACTGGGAATTGGGTCTGCTTTTATTTGCAAACTTCAAAGTTTAATTTTAAAGCAAAAATTCCCTTTTCTTTACACGTGAAAAATTTCTCACCCCTATAAAGAAACCACTTGAGATTTTCAAGTCCCCTCTTTGTAACTTTACAAGTGCTTGCTTTGGGGATGAGCTATTTATTATTCAGAAACAGCCAGGCAGCCTTATGTCTATTTTTTTTTTTTAAGTTAGGGGTTTTCATTCCATTGGAAGTTATAATAATTCTAGTGGCCATACATTGCCAATCAAATCTATTGTCTATGTGTGTGAGAGAGCCACAGCTCATGCCTGCATACCTAATTAGAGCCCTGTGAAGATGTTCTCTGATTGGAACAAAGAATTTCCCTTTGGGGAACAGGGGTAACAGCAGACCCTGCTTCCTGCCTCTGGAGGGATCCCAAAGTTTCAGTCATTACAACTCACCGCAAAGAGGGAAATGGCCCTGTGTCTGTAGCTCACTTCTCTTTCTTTCCCAGGAACTGGATGCAGTGAAATGAGCCAGATCCCAGGTGTGTGCAGAACTTCTCTGGGAGGGTCTTACTGTTCCCATGAAATGTCTAGCAAACTGTCCGGCACAGCTGTCACTGTAACTAGAAAGTAATGAGGGTACTGGAACTAGACTCATTGTTTCAGGAAAGCCCATCTCATAGATAATGTGAGGCTTCTATGAAGTTACATCACATGAAAGTTGGTAGTCTTTTGACAAATATACAACAGTATTCACATTTCGTCCTATACCAACTGAGGATTTTAAAAAATGGAACAAAAATCCCCAAAAAGCTAACACTGTCTTTTTATTTAACAAGTACAGTGGGGCCTTGACTTACGAGTTTAATTCATTCAGAGACCGAGCTTGTTAAATTATCAACTCAATGCAAAAAATCGGCTGAGACAGCTGGTATCTCAAAAAACTCGTTAGTCGGGACACTCATAAGTCAAGGCCCCACTGTACCTATTTACTTGTAAGAGCTTTAAAACAAGAACAAAATTGCCTCATTGTAAGCAGCTGTGTGACCTTGAGATACTCATAGAATGTCTCTGGGTGTCTGAGTCTTGATGCTGGAGCACAAGTCCCTGGAGCAGGTGTCCCTGGAGCAGGTGTCCCTGGAGCACACATTCCCTGGAGCACCTATCCCTGGAGTGCGCGTCCCTGGAGCCTGTGCCAAGATGAGAAACTGGCAGCTGGAGGAAATGTTGGAACCTTTACTTATATTTTTTTCCCCATCTGAAATGCAAGGAAAAATATTAAGCTTTACTAGTATTTGATATTAGGACCAACAGAATACAATTACTTTGTTTATAAATGTACAATTTTTGGAAGTATATGCTCAAAAATGTTATACTGTTAATGACCCATGGACAGAGAAAATAGTGTGGGGAAGGCCTGGGGTTGAACGGGGCTGGGTGGAGGGTGGCAAAGGGGGTAAGAAATGGGGGACATCTGTAATGCTGTCAACAATAAAAAAAAAAGTGATTACTGATCTATACCTTTCAAAGATTAGGCTAGATTTGGTGTTTTCAAATTACTGGTTGCAACTTATTTTTTTTTTGGTTTGTGATAAATTTAGTGTATTTTTAAAGAGTGAAATAAAATATTAGAGTGTATTGCTCACAGTAAGAATTAAGTATTATTCTGTGAAACTTTTCAGATGAATATGTGTGAATACTAGGTAATGATATAAAATCTTTCTCCTATTGTGGCTTGTGGTTAAAAAAATTTGAGACAATGTGGACTAGAACAGTGGTTCTCCAAGTGCCATCCTTGGGCGAGCAGCAGAGACCTATGAGAATTTGTTAAGAAGGCAAATTCTTTTATCCCACCCCAGAATCACTGTATCAGAAAGTGGGGTTCAGCCCAGCAATTATGGCTCAGTGAACATTCCTGGTGGTTCTGCCAAGTGCTGGACCATGGAACCTCTGGCTTAGAACATTCCAGAATTCATCTGGTTACAAAGGCTTAAGATTCTGTTAAGATATTCCTTTAAGTAAGGCAATATTTTTCAAAATTACTTGATCATGAGAATCACCTGGGTGATTTAAAAGTACCTTGGAGATCCTAAATAATCAGGTCTGGATGGGGGACTAGGGACTTGGAATCTTACTTATTTACTAGAGGCCTGGTGCACAAAAATTTGTGCACTCGGGGGCAAGTGGGGGGTCCCTCAGTTCGGCCTGTGCCCTCTCGCAGTCTGGGACCCCTCAGGAGATAACGACCTGCTGGCTTAGGCCTGCTCCCAGGTGGCAGAGGGCAGGCCCAATCCCTAGGTGCAGCCCCTGGTCGGGCTCAGAGCAGGGCTGATTGGGGAGTTGGGGCACCGCTCCCTGTCATGCACAGAGCAGGGCGGATCTGGAGGTTGTGATGCCACCCTCAGTCATGCTCAGGGTAGGGCCGATTGGGGGGTTGGGGCACCGCCCCCTGTCACACTCAAGGCAGGGTCGATGGGCAGGTTGCGGCGCCACCCCCTGTCACGCACAGAGCAGGGCCAATCTGGGGGTTGGGGCGCTGCCCCCTGTCATGCACAGAGCAGGGTCGATCAGGGGGGTGGGGAGCTTCCCCCTGTCATGCACAGAGCAGGGCCGATCAGGGGGTTGGGGAGCACCCCCCTGTTACTCACAGAGTAGGGCCGATAGGGGAGTTGGGGCACCGCCCCCTGTCACACACAGAGCAGGGCGGATCAGGGGGTTGGGACGCCGCACCCTGTCACACTCAGGGCAAGGCTGATGGGGAGGTTATGGCTCTACCCTGTCACACACAGAGCAGGGCCACTCAGGGGGTTGGAGTGCCGCAGCCTGTCACACACAGAGCCACAGGGCAATCAGGGGGTTGGGGAGCTCCCCCCTATCAGGCACAGAGCAGGGCTGATCAGGGGGTTGGGGCGCCTTCCCCTGTCATGAACAGAGCAGGGCAGATAGGGAGGTTGTGGCCCCGCCCCCTGTCATACACACAGCCGCAGGGCAATCAGTGGGTTTGGGCACTGCCCCCTGTCATGCTGATCCCGGTGCTGGGAGGCATATTACCCTTTTACTATATAGGATAGAGGCCTGGTGCACGGGTGGGGGCCGGCTGGTTTGCCCTGAAGGGTGTCCTGGATCAGGGTGGGGGTCCCCACTGGGGTGCCTGGCCAGCCTGGATGAGGGGATGATGGCTGTTTGCAGCTGGTCACACAGCCTTCAGGGTGGGAGTCCCCACTGGGATGCCTGGCCAGTCTTGGTGAGGGGCTGAGGGCTGTTTGCAGGCTGGCGGGTGACTGAAGCTCCCAACCGCTCCTTTTTTTCTTTTTCTTTTTTTTATTCTGGGCCAGCTTTAGCTCTGAGGCTCCAGCTCTTAGGCCTCTGCTGCTGAAAGCAGGTTTCTGGCCTTTGTTTACCTTCTGTATTTGAAACAATGTTGCAATCCTGCTGGCTGAAGCCTGGTGACTAAAGCAGGTTTCTGGGGTTTTGTTTAGCTTCTATATTTGTAACATAGTTGCTTAGAGTTGCAGCTCAGAGGCCGGTAGTGGCAGGCGGGGAACGTTGGAGTCCTCCGTCAGTGAAGCAAGCAAGCCTCATGTTCGCTTCCAGCTGCCTGGCTGCCGGCCGCCATCTTGGCTGGCAGTTAATTTGCATATCACCCTGATTAGCCAATGGGAAGGGTAGCGGTCACACGCTAATTACCATGTTTCTCTTTTATTAGATAGGATTTATTTACTAGAAGCCCGGTGCAGAAAAATTTGTGCACTGGCAGGGGCGGGGGGGGGGGGTTGCTTCTCAGCCCAACCTGTGTCCTCTCACAGTCTGGGACCCCTCAGGAGATAACCACCTGCTGGCTTAGGCCCACTCCCCTGGTGGCAGATGGCACGCCCAATCCCACCCCACCCGCCCCGCCCGCCCCGCCCCGCCTTGCTCTGCACACAGCAGGCCCGGATCC